AAGGTTACTGAAATTATCTCTGTTATTCCCTTTCAACGCTATATTAATATCATAAATTATCGTTAAATATTATACAAATTGTATAATAATTAATTATATTTTAGCCATAAAAATGAAAAAAAGAGATAAACATTAATCCAGATAAAAAATGTTAGAAGTATTACTCGTAAAATATTAATTTTTAATTCATAAAATTGACTATTTTATTTCTTCTTATATATTTTATATATAATATTATTTCATATAGAATTTTAATAAACATCAAAATTAATCATTCCTATCTCACACACATTAATTAAGAAAAAACACATTCTTATTTCCTATTTCAAATATTTTTTTTGCCATCTCTAATAATAACAAATCGAACCGTTTACTCTTTTTTCCTCTTTTATTCGTCTTTTAAACAAAATGCGCATAAATCTTGCATTTTAATATTTAATGGTTTCGACAATCGCGGGATCGCGTATTTCATAAATCAGAAAAGAGGATGTGTAAAAAGATAGTGGTTGTGCAAGTTAGATAACAATCGCATTCTGTGGCATTCAAATAATGTCGATTACGCGCGTATATTCCCTATTTTAAGACCCGAGAAGCTCTGCCGCCTTGCGTCTCTTTCCACAGTCATGTGCCTACATTCCCCAATGATTCGTGAAAAATACACCGGAAAAGCTTCCTGTCTGCTTCCGTAATATGACGCAGGCCACTTCCTGTTCATCTTGTTTTCATTCACGGAATACCTCGGACGCATGTGAAATCAGACGCTATTCTTTCAACTTCTCGATGTTGCAAAGGGGTGCGATAAAGCGCGCACGAGCGATTAATCAAAATAAGAAATATATGTTTTTTATATATATTTTTATTATTAAGATTTATAGAATATAATAAGAATACAGTTCCGCGGAATTCTACGATTTGCAACACTTGTGAGAATTTATTTTCTTCGCTCTAACACTCTCACGAATACTTGTACGTTGATAAAAGGGTAGAATACAAAAAAAAACGTCATCGTACGAAAAAATACAGCATGCCGTAATTAGTTTTTTTTT